AGAATCCGGTTAAAATATTCCATGACTCCGTTTTGGTCCATTCAGACTCACTGTTTCCAGCACTCTCTCTGGACGGCTGTGTCATTTATATGTTCTGCACAGCTAGAATGAGGTGTGACCGAATGAAAAGCATATTTAATAACTATTAGAAGTAAATAAAGGACTTTATGGAACAAATGTGTCCATTGCTGCGATTTTGATTTCTAGAATAAAAATACACATTTTACTGGGAGCAGAGAAAGGGTTTTCTCTTCACAGTTGCCTGTTTAATTACTAAAAGACTTCCTTATTCTGGCAGATTTTATTATTAAAATGCATGAACACAGTCTTTTGGGTTGTGGTAGCATTGCATTTCATTGCACTTGTTGTATATACTATATCTGCCCACGAAAGATGAATAAAGGCAGAATGGGGCCCTTGGCATAACAGCTTTACCCACCTCACCACCTCCCCAATCCCTTCGATTGACATCAAAGCAGAACTCCAAAAAACCAGAGAAAAAAAATAGTTCATTAAAAGATAAAAACACAACCAGCACTTGCTGCAATATTCAGCTTCAATCCAGACATTCCCCCTGCAATACTTTTTCTGCTACTAGATGTCCTCAGTCTAATGGCCAGCATCATTCAACCCACTTCCTCTGAGTCCAGGTCATCCTGAACCCATCCCTAGCCTGTGACTTGGCAGTGTAAGGAGAAATAGCCCAGTGATGAACCCATCTCTGTCACCCTGCTCTCTACTCAACATGCTTCCAGTTGGCACGTGAACTGATTGGCTCCTTGTGCTGCTTCTTCCTCTCACACTCCAGCCCTGATGTGCATTTGTCTGCAAGAGGCTGATAATTGGTCAAATTCAGATACGTACACTGCTTGTATTTAAACAATAAATTTAAAGATGTATTCTGATTACATAGCTGCATTAATCTGTCTCTTTTATATGGACCTAAAGTTCAGCTTTAATAAGATTACAGTAGGCATAATAACCACTCAATTTGCATCCCTCCTATGAGACACCAACTGGCCAAGTGTACATCCTCCCTTGAAAAGTGGCAGACAGATGTACAGCTGTGACCGACTGCACAATCTGACTGGTATACTACAAGAGCATGAAGGCTGTAGCTGCATCCCCACCCCCCTGCCCCAGATGTCCAGGTTCCCGTCTAGGTTGCCTTGTTGATGATCTGGCTTCCATGCAGACCAACCCCTACCTAGCTTACGATCCAAGCCACAGAGATTGTCTTCACAGGTCTAATTCTACATCAGTGGTCACCTACTGACTTAAATGGAACAGGGTTTTAAATAGATTAACAAGTAATTGACATTTTATAGCAATAATGTGCAGGAGGTTTTCCAGATGATAAAGTAGTGGGTGGAGGTATTAATTCTGGGACCTTCCACCTGCCTATAGCTCATCCTCAGCTTGTGATCCCAAATACATCTCAAGTCTTTCTGTGTTTCTTTCAAAGAGGTTCACAACTAGATTAGAGGGTTAATGTAAATCAAGGATTTGACTCAAGTAAAGATTTAAAGACAAGGGTTATTTCAGCAGAATCAGAGGTCTAAAGTAAAAACAAATTTGAGGTAGGCGCTGCTTTTATTAGGTGCAGTTAGATAGTTGACAACCTTTGGACCTTTTATATCCTAAGCCCCTACAATCTTTTGGGCCATTAGGGCAAGATGTTCTTGCTAGAATCGACAATGATTACCATTGCAAAGCCAAATAATGGTGTCACACTCTCCCAAAAAGTTCTCCATAATGTACAATAAACATAGTTATGGAGTCCTTGGGTAACTCCTTCTTTTTAGCCTGTTGAGGGATAGTGCAAATGGTTTCTAAATCAGGAAATATCTGTCAGGGCTGGAATAATGGGCCAGGTGTGGAACCCCTTGGCAGGGACGAACAATGTTCAAAAAGCGCAGTACAAAAGGATAATCCAATCGGGTAGTCAGTTCCAGTTCCAGGTCGTGGCAGGCAGCAGGAATCGTAGTCGAAGGGTCAAGCAAAAGGGTCGGTAGCCGGGAAGTCAGATCAAACAACAGGTTCACAGGAAGGAGCTGGGTGTTCACCATGAGGTAGAATAACTCAGCAATGAGTCAAGGCTTGACCAGCTTTAAATACACAGGGAACCCAGTACCGCCCCTGGCTGCCAGGGCAACCAGGAAGCTTCCCCAGTCAGAGTCCAATCACAAGGCTAAAGTCCTCCCCCAGCCTGAGTAGCACCTGTGGCCTGGAATGGCGCAGGCGCACTACGCTCGCACGTCCGCGCATGCGCACACGGCTTGCGTACCGCACACGCGCACCCGGCGCGCGACCTGCGCACGCGCACTGGCCAAACCAGCGTCAGATGCCCTGCCAGGGGGAGGAGGAGGAGCTAGCCGTGCCCGATGCCCGCGCCTGCGAACCTGACAAGGAACGCCCCCCCCTGGGTCCCTGACAATATCACAACTGGAGACATAATAGGATATTAGATAATAGATATTGGAAGCTAATGGGAGAGTCAACCTCATAAATGCCCATCAAAACTGAAATATCATTTCACAGTGAAGTGCTTTTAGTGAAAGTTCAAGATAAAAGGTATTTTAAATAAAAAAGCACACAAGTCTTAGTATAGTTACAGAATGTCAAATGTAGGGAATTATACCTGGTTCCAGAAGTAAAGAATCCAGAGGGTTTTTTTTTGCTGTTTTTGGTACTATAATGTGTATACCATAGTCACAGATAAATAGCTTGTACTCACTTGTTCACAACAGCAAGGGGCTAGAGCTATTGTCGGAAAAGTGCAGAGTCAGCTATATAAATTCAATTGTTTTTGATAAATCAGCAGTCCTCCTACGCTGCTGCCTGCCACTCCTTACCTCTGCAAGTTCAAGGCCCAGATCCAGCACATATGAGCAAGACGGACGCCTAAGCCGAGCCTTAAATTCTTTTCCCAACCCCGGGACCCTCTAATGGCCTTTCAGTTTCTATCTGGGGAACACACAGCCCTAGCCTGAAGGATGAATGCATGGATCACCAAATCCCATACTCCTTAGCAGGGTGGTCTCAACATCCAATCGTCTTGAAGTTTCAGGTCACACAGAAACCATCTCTCGTCAAACTTAATCAGATCTAAAAACCTGAGACAAATTTTCTTCCTCCAGTTTTTGGAAGAAAAAAATCTCAGTGTATATACGAAGGGATAAAGATTCTCTCTGGATTTTATTAAATCCATTCACAGGCTTATAAATCCAAAAGAGGAGTTTGCGTAATGTAATTCTAAAATCCACCCCCAGATTCATTTGATTGCTTATTTTAACAAGTTCCAAAAATCCCATTGCATGCTTACTTGAATGAGAACATGTGGTTATTCTGGTCGTGTTTAATTTTTCTTTATAAGGTAAATATGCCATAGATATTGAACAGTGTGCTATCAAAAGCAAAAGCAAAATCTTTTCTTTGCGACCGGACTTTGCTCTACCGGTGTCACTGATGGTTGCTGTAAGCTCAATATTGTGGAACCATTTACTGATTATCCCGTAAAGAGACACTGTCACTAACACTGCCACTTTGACGATGAAGGGCCTTCAAAAAGCCTTCCTCCCTCCCTTGACAAGATATACTCACATATCTGTTCTGCCTCCCTGCTCCATTGGAGACCTTGCTCTGTTTCTCATAACTCACTTTTCCTCTATTGCAGCCCTCCAGCTGGGGTGACACTTCCAATCCCATCATGCATCTTCCTCTGGAAGTCATACCTGTGGCTGTCAGACAATTGCAATGCCTAAAAGGATTTGTAGTTTAACCACACTTAGAGGGCTGAAGTTTGTTTACCCCTGCTCTAACGGAAGGTGGATTCTAGGTATGGGGAAGCATATAACCTCCTCCATGTGCATTTGCTCAGGCACTGTCATGTGGAGGAAGGCAGTGACAGAATCCACCAGGGTAAAGCTACAACACCAAAACTTACTCAGTGTGAACTTCAGCAGGGAGGCCTGAAGGGAGCGTGGATCCGTGAGTTTGTGTGCCACCTGAAATCCGTGCACTCTTGCTGCTGGGACATTTTCCTAGTAGGTCTAATGATTAAGAATAGAAGAATGAATGGTCCTTGCTGCCCTTAATAACCAATCACAATTTACCTTTTTTTGTTTCTAGTACACAGTGAGACCATACATCGGTTGATGTATTGTATGTATGTTTAAAGGGTATCTATAGCCAAAACTTGTTTTAGTTTTGTATCGAGTAGAGAATATATAGAACCCTTTCAAGGTTTTAATGTTGTGTGTATCATCTTTAGGTAGATTAACCCTCTCTGTTATTCTTGGTGACCATTGTCATAACATCAGATAGTGATGGAAAATCCAAACTTTTACAGTTGTCAATGGATGAGGAGGTGAGAAGGAATCATCAAGTGGGGACACCCGTTTTGATGGCAGATGTCCAAGAGGGTTTTCCTTTCACTTGAAAGGAAATTGCACTTCTTGTTGTGTCTCCAGGTCAGGAAGGTGAGGGTAAATCTGTTCAGTAAGATAAACTGAAAGTGATTTCTAGCCATTTCCTACAGAACAAAAAAAAATGGTTGCCTAGGAATTTACTGAATAGAGGCCCTGTCACCTTGCATATTCAGGCTAAGTTATAGTGTTTGTGCAACACTTGTCCCACTTATACTCACCTTTCCAGTGCTCCCCTGCTCTTCCTTCTGCCTCAGCTTCCAAATAAGGGGAGCATGTGACAGTGCCCGGGTATAGAAGCCAATCACTAAGCCAGAGCACTGTCACGTGACCAAGGAAGTAACATCACCATTCCTGACCCACCTTGCCAGTGCCCAATCCCCCCCTGCTGCTCCTTCCTCTGCTTCCACTTATGAATATGAGGGAGCACGTGATCTCCTCCAATGTGAAGTGCTCGGGTCTAGCAGCCACTCACTAGGCCCAGGCACTGACATGACAAAGAGAGTAACATCATAACATCACTGTACCACCTAACATTCAACACCAGCTGACACTGGGGGTAGCAAAGTAGCAATGGCGGAGTGCTGGCTAGATGAGTCTCTGTGGGTCCCTTTAAATTCTATTTTATAACTATTGTAACCCTATATAGCTTAGTTTTACACTTTACTGTTAAAATAAACATTATTATAAAATAAGTGAATGATCTGTGTGTAACAACCCCAGGATCATATTTTTTTATGTAAAAATCATCAGGCAGATGGTGGTTGTATCTATTGAGATTTTCTCCATTTATTTTGCCAAAGCACTTTCAAGAATAGGAATCAGATTGCTTTATTACTTCCTAAAGATAACTTACATTATTCTGTCAAAGGACAAAAAGTTAAGAACTGCCATCTTTGTGTTCAGACAGGGTTGTGTTTGGGTTTAGAAATGCTTTCTTTGACAGTTTTCTGACTGGAAGCCAGCTCTTCCATCTGACCACACATGACTATACTCAGCGACAAAACATCCTCTGTACTGGCCATTTCCTGTTTTCCACTCATTCACTTCCTGTGTTTACAATTATCCTGAATTCTCATTGGAGGAGAGGTGACCTCACACTTAAACTGTGTTTAATAATACACGAACAGGATAAAAGTGTACGCCGTTGTATCATGTCCCAACATAACTTATATTTTGTTGCTTTTCAGAATGAAGTTGACAGGAAAATTCTACATATCGGCCTTGATTTTCTTAGTTCAAGCACAGCCGGGCACATCCCTCAATCCGAATGACCCCAATGTCTGCAGTTACTGGGAAAGGTAAAAGAAAAACAAAGCTTTAGCATTGAGGCCATGTGTTCCTTTTGGCCTACGGAGCAAATGTACCTCAGACGTGGTGCTATCACCATACAGACAGGAAACAGCTGGTCTCCTCTTCTTCCTGCTTCCTGCCTGTAATGGGATAACTGTGGATTTATAATATTTGCCTATATGCTGGAAAGACTGACAGTCAATTGTATGTTACACTCCACTCACATCATTTGACTCAGAGATCAGAAGTACTGTACACTTGTCAATGGTTTATGTCCAAAGTTTTAGGGTCAGCTCTTGCAACTTTGAAGCACACTCATGGAGCACTTTATTGGTAACATCTATTGTTTAATCATCCAATCATGTGGCAGTAGAGCAATGCATAAAACCATGTCGATGCATGTCAGTAATGATGAGCAAGCTGACCTGGGTCTGATTCTCTTGGGCGTTCACCAAACCCAGCCAGAAATCCAGGTTCGGTGAACATCCAAGCATACTGAATTTAGGGCCTCCTGTGTCCTAGCAACCAGTGACGCTGAACGTCTTATGTTCTACCTATAAACATGAAGCTCTCCATAATTGGTTTTATTTGGAACGACCAACTGAAAAGGAGAACAAATAAATTAAATTGCACCAAGCTCAATAAATTAATTAATGGAATAAGAAACGGTATGCACAGCAAATTACTATGTAATAAAGTAATATGCACATCATACTGTCAATAGCCTCAAATGGGGGCCAGCTCCATATAAACATAGTAAACTCCCCATTATCTGGCATTCAAGCAACCATTAACTTTGGAGCAGAGGCAGTTGAGCGTCTTGCAGCAGAGATAAGTCAAAGCATCAGCATTTTATTGTTTGTTTATTGTTTGTTTTATCAATAAATGATGGACTGAGCTCTGTAGAAAGTGTTAATAATTTATTTTTATCGATTAACAAAATGGAAAGTAATGAACAGAAAAGAAATCCACATCAAATTAATATTTGGTGTGACCACCCTTTGCTTTCAAAACAGCAACAATTTTTCTAGGTACACTTGCACACAGTTTTTGAAGGCAGGTAGGTTGTTCCAAACATCTTGGAGAACTAACCATAGATCTCTTGTTGATGTAAACTGCCTCAAATCCTTCTGTCTCTTCATGAAATCCTAGACAGACTCAATGATGTTGAGATCAGGGCTCTGTGGGGGCCAAACCATCACCTCCAAGACTCCTTCGTTATGCTGAAGAAAGTTCTTAATGACATTGGCTGTATGTTTGGGGTCTTTGTCCTGCTGCAGGATAAATTTGGGGCCAATCACACACCTCCTTGATGGTATGGCATGATGGATAAGTATCTGCTTGTATTTCTCAGCATTGAGGACACCATTGATCCTGATCAAATCTCCAACTCCATTGGCAGAAATGCAGCCCTAGATATGCGATGAACCTCCACCATGCTTCACTTTTGCCTGCAGACACTCATTATTGTACCGCTCTCCAGCCCTTCGGTGAACAAACTGCCTTCTGCTACAGCCAAATATTTCAAATTTTGATTCATCAGTCCAGAGCACCTGCTGCCCTTTTTCTGCACCCCCAGTTCCTATGTTTTCGTGCATAGTTGAGTCACTTAACCTTGTTTCCATGTCAGATGTATGGCTTTTTGGCCGCATTTCTTCCATGAAGACCACTTCTGCCCAGACTTCTCTGGAAAATAGATGGGTGTACCTGGGTCCCACTGGTTTCCGCCAGTTCGGTGCTGATGACTGGACATCTTCCGATGTCAAAGGGCAGTAAGCATGGTGCGTCTTTCATCTGCTGCATTGTTTCCTTGGCTCTTTTCTTCCACTGTATCTACGATCCTCAACATTGCCCATTTTTTTTGTGTTTCTTTAAAAGAGCTTGAACAGCACATCTTGAAACCCCAGTCTGCTTTAAAATCTTTGCCTGGGAGAGACCTTGCTGATGCAGTATAACTACCTTGTGTCTTGTTGCTGTGCTCAGTCTTGCCAAGGTGTATGACCTGTGACATGAAACAGTCTTCCACAACCTCACCTTAGTAGGAGAGTTTGGCTGTTCCTGTTTCAGTTAAAGGAGAACTATGGGGTTAGGGCTTTTCCCCATAGTTCTCCTTAGGGTAATGGGAGGACACAAACTAGCGTCCTCCCGTCACCCTAGGCTCAGTATACCGCAAGCTATACTGCTACAGCTCAAGGTATACTGAGACGCCGGAGTGGATCCCGACATCGATGTCGAGATCCTCCCAGCTGCGTGAGTGACAGCTGGCTCTGCCTATCTAGAGGCAGAGCCACCTGTACCCGCCCCTCCCCCGTCCGTTCCGCCAGTCAGCGCTGGCGGATCGGAGGGGGGAGAGGTTAATCCAGCCCCTCCCCTGTCACGGCAGAGAGCCGTGACAGGATCGAGAGGTGAGCGAACCCGGTATATGTTCGCTCACTTCCCGATCTACTGAGCCGACCTGTGACAGTCTCATTGTCACAGGTCGTCTAGAACTATGAGGTGAGTGAAAAGCACTCACCTCATAGTTCTCCTTTAATGACTGTGTTTTAACCTACATATGAAATTGAAGATCATTAGCACCTACTTTGTATAATTAGTTAATCATACACCTGACTCTAATGCTACAAAATCCCTGACTTTGTGCAAGTGTAAGTATTGATGCTGGTTTGAAGCTAAAGGGTAGTCACACCAAATATTGATTTGATTTAGATTTTTCTTCTGTGCACTTACTTTGCATTTTGTAAATGATAAAAAATAAACAATAAAAATATATATTTTTGAAAGCATTCTTACTTTACAGCATTTTTTCACACCTGCCTAAAACATTTGCACAGTACTGTGTGCCGATCCCAGCCGAGTGGGGAGATGTGTATGGACTTGTTCACATGCCCTCAAACACACGGCTGCTGATGTGCGTGTGTCCGGGCAGTACCAGTGTGCCCGATTTAGATGCTTTACACTGTTTCTTTTTTTTTGTTACAACTTTAATGAAATGTCACAAGTTCTATGGGCACACCATGGTGTGATATGGTTATAACATGTCTCACTGCGGGGCGCTTAAAAAAAGTACTGCATGCCATACTGCAGTGCAGTGTTGTGACAAGACAAATTTCCTTGTCTTGCGGAACCATGTGATTAACGCATAGGGGAGGGCTGTCTGTCTGTTTGCTTGCTTGCATATATAGTTATATGTGGAATCAAGACAAAAAGAACATTTTGTATTTGGTTTTTAACACCATTAGAAAACATAGGCGAAAGAGTAGTCTAAGATGTTTCAATGTTTAATTTTTAGGAACTAGAAATCTGGATTATCTGACCAATGGGATTTTAGCAGTAAATTATTATTCTAATGGTTTAGAGGATTAGGGGAATTAGAGGTTTAGGGGAATTCTATGATGGTGTACCTCCATTTTTTTCCATTCAATTTGATTTTTTAGTAAGGAAGGGCATAAAATAAACAGCAATAAAAGTATCTAGAGCCACTTTGTATTGTGTTTTGTGTTCGTATTTTGCTGTGGATTGTCCACAGCTGTTTACAGGAACTTTACATTAACATTTGACTAGGGATTGCAGGTTTTCTGTTATTAGTATAGTAACATTACATTTCTTCTCAGTTACACCGCAGCAGTGAAGGAATCATATGCCCATCCATACAGCCTGTCTGCTCCCGACTCCTGTGACAGTAACTGGAACTACTTCAAGACTTGTACACCACAAAAGTAAGTGACTTTAAACAATTAAAACAATGTAATAGCACTTTGCATTTAGCTTTTGTTCCTATCAGCACAAAACAAACAGCCTCATTTATGAAAACCTCTACCCCATAATGATCAGCTAGATACTCAAGCTGGCCTAATTGATCACGTTCTTTATGCACCAGGTTTACTTCGTCCAAGGAGTGGCATAGCCAATTTTGCTTCCTAGATTGGAGCTGAATTGCAGCCTGTAAGCATTTTCAGCCTTGCACTGAGGTAAGGCTCCTCTCCTGTTCAGAAATTTCCGATTTTCACTGCACACTATGCTGCCAATTCAACATTTTCAGGGACTGGAAGCTGGAGAAAATTAAATTTTTAGACAGTTTAGAGGAGGAGAACCCAGGAAGATACTTATTCACAGTCCAATAAGTAGGCTGGGGCAGGTAACAAGGAAATAGTTCAATAATGAATAATGATGTCACCTACTACTTACAGCTAATGGATGGAGGGGGCTACGTAACTACGGGAGGGAATTGTCCCCAGAACGAACTCCAGGATTGTGAAAAATAACACTTGCAGTTGGGCTACCCACTCACTGCAAGGGTTAAGTGTTCGTTTTTCTCTAGGTGACAAAAATAAAGAAGAAATACTCGCCCGATCCTTGGTCCTGCAGTGACCACTCATCTATCTCCTCCTCAACCATGGCTGTGGTATGTCCCCTTGTGACCTGAATTAGATGCGATGAGGTCACAGGTTCTTAAACTGCTAGAGCCTAGAGGACAAGAGAATGAGAGGCCCAGGCAGGACTGAGGATCTGGTGAGTATTTCTTCTTTATTTTTGCCTCCTAGACAAAACGAGCACTTAAAGCTTGCAGTGCAGAGGTAGCCCTACTTCAAAGTATAATTTTTTACAATCCTGGACTTCCTTTTTAAAGTGAGGTAGCATTGTAAGAACAAGAAGTCTTACCTGATTGGTGTTCGCTGGTCTGGAGGAGCCACAAGGGTAGGGATAGAGTGCTACTGGGAAGTCATTTCATAACGGTTGGCTGGAGAGTGAAGTTGTCCCTGGCAGCAGGGAGTAGAGGGGCAGCAGGGGTGTGGAATTCCTGTCTCCCGACGCCTGGGAAATGCACTTTTGGGAGCTGAGCGGATAGTTGTTTTCTACATTTAGCCCTGCTATGGGCAAGCAGAGCTAAATGTACAGCGGGGAAGCCGCCACTTGTTTGGTGCAAGTGATCTAGGCGATGTCGCGGAGATCACTCCTATGCAGCCTGCATACAGAGGGGCGCATTGAGGAACCTGGCCTTGGGGCAGCAGAGAGAGTAAATCCGGCCCTTGGTGGGTTTGTTGGTCTTCAGGGGTCTGTGGAAAACTTCGGATAATTACAAAATGGGGTCCATCAGGCTGTATGGCACTCCCTTTTGGCAGGTTGTTTTTGGTTCTTCCATGGGCTTGTTTCCTTGGTGGAAGTCAGTATATATACCCAGTTCGGAACTGTCCTCGAGCGGATGGGGATAGGGATGGTGCTTAGTTAAAATTTTGGTTAGTGGACACCTAAAGACACTCTCCCGAAAATACTTGTCTATTTATGTTTGGTACGTTTTATTTGTTCACTGTTATATATGTTAATGGTTGTTAAATAAAGGACTTCTGTGGCCAGTGTCAAGCAGTCTGAGTCATTATTTAGAATTAAAATAACAGGAATGGTATTGATGAGTCCATCAGTCATGAATAATGGTGTCATCCTGCTATTTACGGTGTGTGAATTATAACAATAGCTGAACAGAAGTACACATATATTGGCACATACAGTTTAGACCAAAACTAAAATCTCCCAATAGATGGATTTAGTTTTACTTGGCTTTCCATTGATTTGAATTTGTATACTCTTCTCGTAGGATCATGTACCGAACTGCATATCGCCATGGTGTAAAGCTTGACTACAGAAAGCGGTATCGATGCTGCCAAGGATACTATGAAAGCAACGATATCTGTGTTCGTAAGTCCAGTTTTATTTGAAATAATGACCATGCTGTGTATAGTTAATTCCATATGTTGGACGTCTCACAGCTTGGGTTTCCCACAGAGGCCATATGATGCTCAGCAAACACACTGCACTATCCCCATTGCTGAAGGACATGCCAAAAGACGCATTCCATAGAAGAGATTATTTATTGCATTTCAGGACTGGAATTTATATCTTGCCAGAGCATTTAGACATTAAAACATTAACTTATTAATTTCAGTTTACTGCAGGATATTTAAGATCAACGTTTTCATCTAAAAGAAATCCTAGGAAATAATACCAAAATTACCATTTGCACCCCCTCAAGTCACAGATCTAAGTAAAAAGTGAAATTAAAGGACAACTGCACCTTTGCTACAGCTGTCCTTTTATTAACCCCAACCCCCTCTGAGCACGTCCTTCCTGTTTAAATACTAAAGCTTTCCATACATGTGGGTTGAACAAGAGAAGTCCATCGATTGCTGAACAGCGTGGATGGAGTTATCCATGCTGCTGACAGCATGTGGATCTGATTGGATGAAGGCACTGTTAGCCAAGAATTTTCAGACTGGATCCCTTCACAAAAGGCAGTTGGGTGGGCGGGGGGATAGAGGTACCAACAGGGCTGCCCATGGGTTGATTTTCAGCTACTGCAAAAGGAATCTGCTAAAAGTTGAGCAGAGTATGGTCAGCTTTGCTTCCTCCTGGCTCTAACGATCTTTACTGTGTGGCCCTACCTAGCTGCTAAAGAGCCTTTCCGAGTAACACTCCTCACCGCATCTTCTTTTTACTGCATATGCCCTGAAGCCCCATTTCTATGGTGGTCTTTTGGGTTCTCCATCTTTTCTCCACCTTTCTTCAGCTCATCAATTTATAGTCTGTTTACTTTACTTTCTTGTTTCAACATTCCCCCTTGAACCCTATATTGACTGGCTGCAATGAGCTTCTCAGGCTGGGTTTCCTGATAAGAAGTCTGCATAATGTTTGTTGAAATTACTTCTTTTAATCTCCACTGGAAGCCAAGTTAATATTTGCAGTCTGTCTACTCTTGGGGAGATTTCCCTTCACTTCATGTCCCAGGGACACAACAGGAAGTCAGAGGAAATCTCCCAAAGTATCCGGAATTCCCCTTTTAGGCATTAGTCCCTGGAACGGATATACCCATTTGAAGATTTCCCTTCATTTCTTGTTCTGGGGACAACTCTGAAAGTGTTGGGTTTCCCCTCAATTTCTTTTCATTGCCATTGCAAAGCACCCTCCTCTACCACGTAAAGTTTTAGATATGAAAATTCTTCACTATTTTTCTTAAAACCACAATTTTAACTACAATATTTATGATTACAATATCTTCAAACTCAAAAGTCTACAACAGCCATTTCTCCTACATACTTAACCCCTGTAGAATGCATAATTCTCTAACTTCATGGCTCTAAAATGTGTTGTTGGTCTTCAGGCTTGCTTAGAAGCTTTCACCGATCTATTTTTACTGACAGGCTCTAAAATTTTTAGAATTGTCACTAAAGCAACAGATCAGGTCATCTCACAGGAACAAATGTTCCAGTGATGCCTGTCCAAGATTGGAATTCCACCAGCTTTACTAATTCCTGTTGCATCTTCTGGACAGGAAGTGAAGGAAAAATCTCCCTAGTGGGACATAGACACCAAAACAAACCTGGTAGGGGTTATAAACCTCTATCCAAACTATAAAAAAAAGGTTTTTGCTGCATATGCATTTAAAAAAAACATAGGGGCCAAAATAAAACTCCTTATTTGACATACATTATTATGTCTAATTATTAACTTACTGTATGTGTAGCCAGCAGGGACAGAGCTCTCACCTCATGTTCTTGGATCTTTGTAGGGATTTTGCATCCAAAGTCAATGAAAATAAATTGCATTGTCTTAACACAGATTACAGAAAATGTTTTTTACTCATTCTACCAATGGAGTTTACATTTGTAACACATCTGTAAGTGTAGAAAAGACTTCTCTCAGGAGGAGAGCTGTAAGCCCAGTTTCTCCCACTCATAACTGATTCCAGATGAGCTCTCAACCTTCATTTGAATCTATACTCTCTCAACTGGATGGAAATATTTTTGTGTGCATAGATCACTTGACTGTCATTTCCAGAATGCAGTAATCGCCCACCATTGTAAACACTCCGATGTAGCACTGAGGGATTTGTGTCTCAATAATACTAAAGAATTCATTGAGGCATCTTTGTTAAAACTAGAGTGAAAGTAGAACCCAACATTAATTCAGGTCCAGGAGCATGGGTAATAACCTCTGTCAATGTTTAATTGCTGTCTGTGTCCCCAGTTTGGAATTTCCCCTCATTTTCTATTTATTAAAATGGTAAGGAATTGATGGTGGTGTTGATGATGGTGTTGATTTATTAAAGGGAACTAAGCTATTGACTTTGCAAGGGGATTTTTACTTTGCATGGGAATTATCTCTTGGCTTAATAAAAGTGGTGAAAATTAACTTTTCAAGAATACCCAATCACCTGACAAGGAAAATAAAAACAGCATTTTTTCTTGCACATGATTAGACGATGGAAGTCAGGGGAGCTTTACCTCACTCACTAAGATAAGAGGAAATTCTTTCGAAAAGCAAACATTCTATTTGTTGTAAATCAACCCCTATATGTTTAAAAGTTACTCGACGCCTGGCCTATTAAAAAACCAAGGGGATTAATATTGAGTTCCCCCCTACCTTTGAGGCTTTAACAGGCTCCACTTTTCAGGGAAGCCTTTCCATAAAGTTTTAAAATATGTCTGTGGGTATTTGTGCCCATTCAGCCAAAAGAGCATTTGTGAGGTTAGGTACTGACGTTAAAAGAGAAAAGATGGCTTGCAATCAATATCTCAATTCATCCCAGAGCTGCTCAGTAGAGCTCTGGTCAGGGATTTATGTGCACCAAACCCATCAAATCATGCCTTCCATTCAGCGTTCCAATTGTGTTCAGTGGGGTTGTAGTGTTTTTTGCAGGTACTCGAGTTCCTCAACACCATAGTCATTAAATTATATAATGCTGGTTTTGTGCACAGGGGCACAGTCTTGTTGGAACAGAAAAGGGCCTTCACCAAACTGCTACCACAAGGTTGGAAGCTCACAATTGTCTAAAAAGTCTTTGTCTGATGTAGCATTTACTTGTACCTTTCACTAGAAACACCTGAACTCAAAGATTTGGAAGGATGTCAACTTAGTTTTGGCCATATAGTGTCGGTCAAGTGTCCACAAAATTTGGCCATATAGTGTAGCTATGTTTGGACCTCTTTTAATGCATATTCATACAGTCTTTTCACAGCTGCAATGCAATGAGCATTTATATATCAGTAAAGCTCAAATAATGCATTGAGGAATCTCTGTATCAGTTTGGAAAGGTACATCACTTGCACACCTTGAATGCAATGAGGTGGCTCAAGTAGATTTCAGTCTCTTCACACTACTTTTATTAACATGTATTTATAGTGGAAATGGGTCCATAAAGTTTAATCAGGGGAGCTGCTGAGAGCTGACATGTTTTTTATCACTCCAAGTGATGTGCATCCCAGGGACAACATTGTGGTCTCATTCACTATTGCTGCACTGTGTCTATTATTCCTAACTCCTTGGTGGTAAATTTTTAAAGTCAGAGTCATTTGTTCAGGCTTCCTGCCCATAATCCAGGCGTTTCCATGGAGATAAGCAGGCTTCCTCCATGTTGTTCTTGGCATCAGTTAAAGCAGCTCTGGGCTTCCCTGCTTGCCTCATGCCTTCTGATTGACTCCAGTCTTCCCAACTGGGATTTCAATTGGTTTATGTAGGCAACGGATGACACGGCACAGAATAAGGTCATCGCCGTTCAAGAGAGGTCACTACTGGTAGCACTGTTCTCAAAATGGCTGCTGCTGTAGATGAACCCTGGGGGGAAACAGCAAGAATTCTGAACATAACAAAGAAATAGTTGTGAAAGACTACACTGGCTGAATTAATACACACACTTTTCATACGGACTGAAAACACTCTGCATGTCATTTGCATGAAGTACTTAATCTCGTTTCTCTAAATATTTCTCACACCACATGGATGAGACAAAATGGAAGACACTTGGCCCTTTTGTGACTATCAGCAAAATTGTACTGTGGCATTAAAGGAGAACTATGAGGTGAGTGCTTTTCACTCACCTCATAGTTCTAGCCGACCTGTGACAATGAGACTGTCACAGGTCAGCTCAGTAGATCGGGAAGTGAGCGAACACATACCAGGTTCGCTCACCTTCCGATCCTGTCACGGCTCTCTGCAGTGACAGGGGAGGGGCTGGATTCCCCCCTCCCCGCTCTGATCCTCCAGCGCTGACTGGCGGAACGAACGGGGGCGGGTACAGCTGGCTCTGCCTCTAGATAGGCAGAGCCAGCTGTCAATCACGCAGCTGGGCGGATCCCGTCATCTAAGTCAGGATCTGCTCCGGCTGCGGCGTCTTAGTATACCGCGAGCTGTGGGGAAAAACACTGACCCCATAGTTCTCCTTTAACACAGGATTTTGCAGTGTGACTGTGCTACTACAGGAAATATGCAATCTTAAGAAAAAAGCCATATGAGTGCATATAGTATTGTCTCAACTACAAACTGGGAGACACAGTTACAAAGGTCATGCAGATGCTAGACACGGTGCAACACAAAAACACAGCTGCAACACAAAAACACAGTTGTGTCACAAATTAAAACTGATAAGTGCCAAAACAAAGAAAAAGAAAGGAAAAAATAAGCTCCATTATTAGAGAAGATAGATGAAAACAATGAATTAGTTTAAATATCTAAAATTTTAATCTAAATATTCTCACCAAATATGGGCACCAGCTTTTACATGAAAATGAACAATATGTACTAATAAAAGAGATTTAGATTAGCACAATTTAAAATGATGTACCAAAATATATAATTAAAGGAGAACTATGAGATGAGTGATTTCCACTCACCTCATAGTTCTAAGCCGACCTGTGACAATGAGA